ATATATATATATATATATATATATATATATATATATATATATATATAAATATATATATATAAACCTTAGATTATTAACGGGCTCGATGCACAACCCAATTACTTCCTGAACCTAAAGCAGCTCTTTCGTTTCCTGTCCTTCGTTACAGGATGAAATGATTAATCCAGGTGTTAATCAGTTCATCCAGTAGAAAAAGACAGGAAACAAAAGAGAAGCCCTGTGTTCAAGAAGTAGTGGATTTGTGCATAGAGGCCATTACTTAAAAGTTCTAAGCTTTCTAAGAAGTAAAAGTCTGAATTTTTAGCTACCATGGGCAGATCAAAAGATCTGTTAGTTTTTACATTTCAAAACATCTTGTGTCAAACTGAGTGTATTTAAACCTAAAGAGAATCACACAGAGAAAAAGCAGCAATTAGAAAATTTTATTGACAAAATAAATGAATGATTTTTCCCTCAGAACTCGCCAGAAGACAGTAAGGCTGCATGCAATCGTACTGGTAGATCTAGGTTAGCAATGACTTTTTAACACTGGTGTTGGAACTGAGGTTGAGGAAAGAAGGAAGCCATTTGAAGGCTACTGGAATGAAGGGGAGGAAAGATCTTGCTTATCAATAAAGTAAGGATGGCCTGGACAGTGATTGGTTCATATGTAAGAAGAGGCTTATGATAAGGAGATTACAGGTAATGGCCTTTCAGCTTGAATTTGAGCCTAAGCTTCATGTGAATCTAAACTTGATTAAGACATTAGGAAAAAGTAAATATAGTTATTGTATATGGAGATTTCTAAGATGAGCCTTTTGAAAGAAATCCTAGCTCCTTTGCTTTCTGGTTGAGACTCCACAGCTTTCAAACACCATAGCAACCCCTGAATAACATCAAAATTTATGATTTGACACTTACTCCCTCAGTGATGTTTTACACACCGAGTACATAAACTTACATTCTGTTTAAGACTGGCACCACTATTACTATACCAAATTATTGTATTTAATGCAAAGATACATTAGCAACAGTTTAAAAGCTCCAAGTGCCCCTTTATAAGCAGGAACAGAGATTGTATTTTCTTATCTTTGATTTTATTTAACAGGAATCCTGCAAAACTTCAACTGTATGAAACATCAACTTATAAAATGTAAGATCACAAATTGTAACGTACTTTTTCGAAAGATTTTTAGCAATGTAGCTATAAATCAAAGATATAGATATAATATTTATCGTAAGAAGAAATATAAAATGCTTAATCATTATTAGATTTAACTTGCAGTCAGCTTCTGAGTTCCTTGACCTCCTTGACTGCTTACATCTCACACATGTCAAAGTACCCACACATCCACAAGGCCAAACTATTGATTTAGTGATAACTCTGCCCACATCACCCAAATTAAAGTCTATGACTTGTGCTTTTCTGACCATAAGGTTGTCTCCCTGGATCTGTTCCTTGCAGGTCCTATACCACAAGAGGAAACCTAAAATCTGTTTCAGTCTTAAGCTATGACTTACAGCAAGCATCACTGGTCACACAGTTTCTATCAGTTAATGGCTATGCTGACTAGGGCTGGGTATTGTTCAAAAATTTTCGGTTCCAGTACCAATACCGATACCTTCATTTCGATACCGGTTCCTGAACGATACTTTTTTCGATACCAGTTTTATAATATCAATTCGAAGAAAAAGAAAATTACACAACATAAAAAAGTACAAATCTTGAGTTTTATTTTAAGCTCAGATTTTTCCATTTACATTTTTCCTCTTACATAAAAAAAAAATTTCAGTGTCTAATATTCACTGTTACATTGTGAGGACCTTTTTACTTAGCAGTTTTCCTTTAGAAAAATTACCATGTCTGACAAACAAGTCCATTGAATGGGATCCTACTGACAGCGCACCGCTGGTATGTGGGGGTCTGAGCAGCTCCGACAGAAATATTGGAAGGCAGGATGAACTGACTGCACTGATTAAGTTTTCAGGTGGATTTTCCCACTTAAAAACATAATAAAACTACTTTATTCCCACTGATCACAGCAAATATAGCTGCAAGGCAAAGAAAGTATAGAGTAGCTCCGCCCAACGCGCGTCAGAGCCACTTTTCGACCGCGCAGCCAGAGCAGCAAAGCTTCTTCAGCCGCGTGTCAGAAGCTGGTACAAGCAGCAAAAATTAAAACAGCAGACGCGATTTTGCTGCTCCTGCTGCGTCCAGTTTGAAAGCAGCATGATTCACTCCGCTCTGGCTTTGCACCGCCCACGGGCTGCTGAGAGGAGGATGGTCGCGCCGGCTGCGGTCCGCTCTTCTTGCAGTCAAACACAGAGCAACTTTCTGCTCTTAAATTGTTTCCGTGCACGATGTATTGCATTGCGCACTATTAGCATCAGTCTTAATAAAGTGAAGCCGCACTTTTGACCTGGGGGGCATTTTAAAGGAGTTCCACGATGCTCGCAACCAGTTCACAACAGATACACATAAACCCTGGCTGTAGGCGTGACCACCTGTGTATTTTTCCTAGATGACGCAATCACGTTAAGTGTTACAGCCAATCACCGAAACTTGGTACCCGAAAGACGAGGCATGTTTCGATACTCTGTAGAAACGAGGCATTTCGGTCGGTACTATAAAAGAACCGAAGTTCGGTACCCAGCCCTAATGCTGACCACTATAATTCTAGTCTTCACAGGATCGCTGATTGAAATTTACCAACCACCAATCATACAACAAAGCACCCAACACAGCCAGGTCCCAATATTTTCTCATAACATCTCAAACTATCAGCAATTTAAAAACAGTTGTTCGTACCAATCAATTCACTTCTTAACCATCTACACATGCACATGCTGACACCAGTACAGATCAGTGCAATGGGTTCATGGAGTTTTTTACCAACCAGGGGTGGCTTCAGTCTGGTTCAACTTCACTGCCACTTCCTCTAAAATCAGTCACCACATTAAACACATTTTCTGTCTTCTAAAGCATCTCTTAGAGAGAGGTGGAGAAAATCATACAGTGCAGGAGACCATCCATATGCCTACAATATTAAGCATATAGTCAACTGATCACAGCAATCCTGAGCCAGTAACTCTAATCTGGTCAGGTTCCCCCAGCTCCTAAAAGAGCTGGGGGAACCTATTCCCCCCATTTGAAAAAGCCCTCATTCGACCACAAATTTTTGCTCATCACAGACCCCCCTCAAACCTGCCATTTCTGTTCGAAGTCCTACAAGAAGTTGTTGTAGGCCAACTCAAAAATCAGCATCACATTCTTAATATATACCAACAAAGTTCAGTCTGGTTTTCAAGCAGCAGAGAGCATGGATATAGCCCTCGTCCACATCATGAATGATCTACTTATGACTGCAGACCAGGGTTCACCATCTCTCCTCCTCCTACTAGATGTTGTGGATTACAACATCCAGCTCCAGCATCTCTAGTCTGGGTTTGGACTGCCTGGGATCTGTCACAGTCTTGGTTTGTTAGTTCCTGTTTTCTTGGTTTTCCATTTGTTGTCCTCTGCTGCCCCCTTGTGTCCTCTTTCCCTAGCTCTGTTTTCTGTTCTGCCCTCACCTGTTTTCAATCCCCTCATTAGCCCTCTCTTTGTTTCTGTCCCCTTTAAAAGCCTCCCTCTTCAGTTCCTGTTTGCTGGATCCTCGTCTAACGTCTGTCTGCTTTCCTCGTCTCTCCTTGGCTCCTAGAGATTTGGTTTTCCCCTGATGTCTCCTTGGTTCTGGTGCGTTCGTTATTTTCTGTTGGATTTTTGATTCCTGCCTCAGTTCCTGTGAACATCATTAAACCCACCTAAATTCACCTCTACCTACCTGCTTCTGCATTTGAGTCCTACAATCAAACACCAAATCCTGACAGGATCCCCCATTAGCCCCAATTACACTGTCCTTTTGAAACCATGCCAAGAATGGTCAGAGCATGTTAACCAAGATAAGTGTTGAGTGTAAATGGAATACAACTGAACTGGACGTTCCAGACACAAATGAACCTCTCTAAATCAAGCATTAGTGCAACAGTAGGACTCAGCACGGTTCAGTTTTGGCAGAACAAGTCATCTTGTATTTACAGACAGCTAACATATTGTTTAGGTCAGTGGGAATAAAGTAGTTTTAATATGTTTTAAGTGAGAAAGTCCACCTGAAAACTTAATCATTCAAGTCAGTTCATCCAGATTACCATCCTGCTTTCTAATATTAGTTCTGTCGGACCCACTCAGACCCCCACATAAGGATATGTACCTGTATATAAAACCCGCGCCCTATAATCTGGTGCGCCTTATGTGTGTGTTAAATACAGTAATGGCACACATAACTGAGACTGCGCCTTTTAGTACGGTGCGCCTTATGGTCGTGAAAATACGATAAAGTGAATTTTAAATAAAACTGATTATTTCTATAATACGTTTAATTATGACACAATCTATTAGCAAAGCTTAAAGCCTATTTGGCACCAGTGTTATTAATAGCTATTGCTGGTCATAGAACAAACAAGATCATCTGTTGATGGAGGACTCCAATAACCTGCAAAGAAAGAGCATACATTTAACAAACTAATTGAAAGATTTCCCTAATGATATTTGTCAAAGAAGACTAAGAAGTAACATTTTAAGACAAATCTCTAAATGTGAAAGGGACATTTTCACTGCAGAGATGAATCACACCACTGCGGGTGTGAGCAAAGGAAATGATTAACTGACCTTCATCTTGCTCTGTAATTCTCTGGGTTCACATTAGCGTAATCACTATTTTCCTCTGCATGATGAGGCCTCTCTGTGAAAACAGTGAAACAAATACATTGAAAACATAAATTAAACTCCTGAAAATGTATTTATTATCTAATAATTTTTAATTGTTTCCATTTCAGTTAAATTAAAGCTTAGGGTTTATCTGAATTTAAAATATTTTGGGATTTAATCTCAGCTACTTATAATCCATCTTCTTAATCAACTGCAGCTCGATATTAAAATATAGACTTTACCTCCTCCAGTGGCTCTGCGGGTTTGGATCGTCTCATAGACTGAAGTGGTCGCTAGAAAATAAGAAAATATATTTAAATTAAAGAAGCTCATGGTTATGATATAAATGTATTTTTTTATGTTGCACAGCATAACCAGAATATTCCTTGATCGATTATGACAGAATGATGAAATTCAGCACAGCAAAGATTTGACTGTTCTTTAAGATAATACCAGAGTCCTTTAACTCTGGTATTATCTGTTTTTTATAAGACATAAGCAATTCAGTTTATAATGTTTAAAGCTTAATATAAAATAATTTATTTCTGAAATAGTCAATATAAAGGAAGATTTGACTCAAGCTAATCATATTTAAGAATAATACTGATGTTATTCTGTGACCAACCGTGTTGCAAAGAGATGTAAATATGATTTTCCATCTGATTCATTTCATAATTGGTGCTGGAGCTCTGATTGCTGCTTCCTGACTGGAATAACCTGAAAATGTTAGTGTGAAATAAATTTGCAGATGAATAAAAAGATTAGGAGTAAAAGTTCAAGATGAGAAAAAAAAAAAAAAACTGACCTGATGCAGCATCGATCTGTGGAGGATAAAAAAAGAAACATTCACATTAACGTTACATTCATTTACATCAATTTCAAATTGAATACATCAATCGTTGGCTAAATAATAATGTATTTAAAAATAAGAAGCAATCTAACATGGAATGAGAAGAAAAATATCTCACCATTGGGGTGTCTAGAGCGCCACAGCAAGGCCAAAATGATAATTACAATGATTCCACTAACTGATCCCACAATCAGCAGCACAGGAAATAGAGGATTATAAGGGCTGGATGACGGTCCTGGAAATAAAACATTACGAAGAATTTAATGATTTTATCATCAGATCCAATTAAAATATTTAGATAAATTACTTTAAGCAGAAACATAGACATACATCTGCAGAACATCTACAAAAAATCCGGTATTAGGATCAATAAGTTAAAGTATAGACAATAACATATTAATAATGTTAGTTGTTAGTGACAAGGGAGCCAAACTCAGTTATTAAGTTTTGTGAAAATTTTTACCTAAAATCAGGTTGCCTGAAATAGATTTAATTCTTTAGATATTAAGCAATATACATCTGTTTTTTTTTTTGTTTTTTTTGTTTGTTTTTTTGTAATAAGTCCAGCCTAAGATATATGTACATATATGTACATAATCTTAGTTGTGTTTTTGCAAAAGCCCTTTTTTAAAGGTCAAATCTGTTACCTTGTCCAGTTGTCCAACCTCCCCCTTCAGCAAACAGCTGTTTAGGTTAGTTTGGCTTCAGCCTCTTAGATCAAAACAAACCTGACTTACCAGATACTGACAGGATGATTGATTCACTCCACTCTGTTGAAGAATACCAGTCATCTCTGCTTCTACACTGACATGTGTATTTTCCACTGCTGGACTCAGAAACATTAAAAGTCCAGTCTTTACTGGGTGTGCTGTGTATAACAGAACCAGATCTCCTCCATTCATACGTCCACTCAGTGCTTTCTCCTCCCTGGACCTCACATGTCAGAGTGATCGTCTCACCACTGAACATCTGAGAGCAGTTTGGTTTTTGAGTCACAACAACCTTGTTGGAAACTGTTTACATCAAATTTGAACAAAATTAGCCAAATTAGTTGAGAAGATTTGATTTAGTAGATTTAGTTGCTCATAGTTTTCTTTAACAAACTCACAGGTTATCACAACATTGATCCAAGAGCTTGGATGTGTGTTGAAGTCTGGGTTTCCTCTCACTCCATAACAACTGTAGATTCCTCCTTGTCTCACAGTGATTTCTCTGTTTTCCTCATTATTTGTTCCGACTTCAACTCCAGGGGTGTCTGAGGTCCTTCTGAACCATCTGTACATCCATCCAGCAGAGGGCTCTACATTACAGTTCATTGTCACACTTCCCCCTACTGGTATGGTTGATGGACCTGCTGTCAGTTTGGCTCTGGGTTTATGTGCTGATATGATAAACAGAAAAGAAGTTGATTTTATACAATAGACATATAAAATTCATACTGAAATATGAATTTCTTGTTATAAAAATATTAAAATTATACAATTATTATAATTTATTATTTTTCAAAATAGGTAACATGAATTAGTGAAGTAGTTTGTTATTGTTTTATTCATTATAAAAAGTACATTCTTAGTTGTCAGGGTTTGGTTGAGTTTGTAGGACCCAGATGCAGAGGCAGAGAGGCTGAGGACATTTTTTGCAGTTTAATGGGAAAAAACAGTAAACAAAGGCAGGAATCCAAAAAACCAACTAATAATGTAAACCCAACCAGAACCATGGAGACATAAGGGGAAAATAATCATGAGTAGCCAGGGAGAAACAAGGTAGGACAAAAACAGCCGCTCTGTTCGAAATCCTGGCCTGCATTCTCCAAGGAACCGGTCTACCTAGGCTCTTTTCGAACACCTAGGACGTGTCCTCCAAGGACGCGATCTACCTAGACTGGATCCTTCGAAGTCCTTGAAAATGAGGAGACCGGAAGAGTTTAGGCTGTGAATTCGACCAGGTCTACCCTTCGGCGGGTTTTACCGCCGTATGCTCTGTTGCTTAGCAACCGTAAACGTTGACACACAAAACAGGAAAAGAATGACTACAGAAGTTTTCAAAACTGTTTATTTATTTATTTTTTATTGTGAAGTGAACAAAGACTACACTCACAAGAATCCAGAATGGAATGTTGGGATATATTGCCAAAATGGAGCTAAATCAGTGGGGTGATCCATCTGAAACCATCCCTGCTTGTTAGCCACCTGGAACCCATCCCCCTTCTCTTCTCCACAAGGGAGAACAAAGGATTCCCTCCAAAACAAGAACAAAGAAGACCTGGCCCACTGCGGGAGGCGGCCACCTCAAATGGACCAATCAGCCGAATACTCCAACAGGAAGTTCCACCATGTCACTCATGGCACAGACAAATCAGCCGTTACTTCCACAGGAAGTGCTCCCGTGTCACACATGGTTTAAAAGCCGGCTCGAGAAGACTTTCTTCCTCTTTTTCCGTGGGTTTGCAGCCCGTCAGGAGAGGCCCCCTTTCACGTGAAATAAATGGTAAATGGTAAATGGCATGTACTTATATAGCGCCTTTATTCAAGTTAGGAGACCTGACCAAAGCGCTTTACACTACATTCATTCACCCATTCACACACACACTCACACACTGATAGTGGCAAGCTACATTGTAGCCACAGCTGCCCTGGGGCTCACTGACAGAAGCGAGGCTGCCGTACACTGGCGCCACCGGGCCCTCTGACCACCATCAGTAGACAATGCAGGTGAAGTGTCTTGCCCAAGGACACAACGACAATGAAAGTCGGAGTCGGGGCTTGAACCGTCAATCCTTCGATTACAGGGCAAACTCCTACATCCAACGCCACTGTCGCCCCATACAAGATATACAAGAAATACAAGAAGAAAGCTGACTGGAAGTAGCTTTCGTTTTCCTGCGTCAAAAGTCACGGATCGCAGTGTTCCATCGTGCATAGCGGCTGCGCTGACTGGGAGACAGAAGCCTTTGAGGCTGACCGCGGAGTTGCGTTCTCCCCTTCCTTGGACGAATCGGCTGAGAGGACGCTCTATAGCCGACCACCTCCTAAGATCACCTCCTAAAATCCCTCCTTTCCAACTCGTGAGCAGATCAACCCCTCTGCTGCGGCCCGAGCTGACTGAACTTTCCCGAGGGGCGGACCGGTGGCAGAGAACCTCTGCCCGACAGAAACCAATCTGCGGTTGCCATGGAAACGCCAACCTCCCTCGACGACGCATCTCACAGTAAAATCAATTTACTTTCCTTTTGATGCATCAGGATTGCTGTGCTCAGGCGAGAGAAAGGCAGTTTAGGGTTTTGAATTAATGCTGATGTTCTTTTTTTATCTGTGCTGATTAAGGATTTGTTTATTTGGTTAAAATAAGTGTGTGCTCCTTTACTTTCTTTCTTGGCTTTTCCTGTCCTCTTCGTTGTTTCTGCTTTGAGATAGAGATAAAGTTATCACATTCAGCCACGTGAGGTCCCCGTGGTCGCCGCCATCTTGATTACAGGTTGCCCCCGCCCATTTCTCTTTGTTCCCCTCACCGCGTGGAGAACAAAGGGGGGTGGTCCCCATTTAGCCACAACCATTCACACACATCACTACATTGCCAGGCAAAAAGGGTTTTTTGCTGAACGCTGCTATTGTTAATACATGTTCAATAATTTACCAATACTAAGCTGGATGTATTAATGTTCATGATCGATTGCACTGTAATCATTACACCTGCTGCTTTGTTAATGCATTTAATCAATTGCTGATTTTAAGTTGGATGTATTAGTTTACACTGATCAATTGCACTATACCTGCTGCTAGCGGACATTAGTGAATGTATTAATATCTGGCATATTTTGGACAATTTCAGACGCCAGTAATAGTTTTATTTCGTTGTTTCTATCTCGTTTAATTCTTTATTTTCGATTTTTCTTTTGAACTAGTCATTTAATCTACCTCGTGTTTATTTTTCTAGTAGTGTGTAGTGTTTGCATAGATGTTAGATTTCTGTAATCCTGAATTATTAGAATAAAGACATCATTGGTTAATCTGTAGTGGTTTTGGTCATTCATATAACGGAGGGTTTATCACTCAGCGCAAACCCAATCCCTTTTGGTAATAGTGCGAATAAACAGAGATAGAAGGTTCTTTATTGATAATTTAATAGCTTTGCTGATAACTTAACCGGGGCCACTAGACTGGTGGATACCTGGATTTTAACAGCCGGTCCCGGAACCCTCCAGTTGAGGATCAACAACCGGTAAGTAGATAATTCAGGGCTATAATTATCCACCTAAGAACACTAAATTGATTTTGCCTTCGATGTTGAATAGGATAATAATTAACTATAACTCCAGTTCTAGTTAACCATCTATTCATTATCTGCAGGACATTATTTTTGCACAACAGACTACAGAAGTTTTCAAAACTGTTTATTTATTTATTTTTTATTGTGAAGTGAACAAAGACTACACTCACAAGAATCCAGAGTGGAATAAATGTTCCAACAGCCGGGAGCAGGAACAAATAAAATCAAATGTAATGATAGAAACCTTAGTCAGTTAAATAACCTGCTGCTGTCATTTTGCACATCTCTGATGCTGCTGCTATTTTCAAATATCCATTACTGTAAAAATGTCCATAGCTGCATATTGGTTATTAATTCCCCAGTTTTACATTGTTAAAACACTTTACAGTATTTTATTGTTTATATTTGAACTCTTCCCTATTATGTTATTCTCATACATTTTTCTAAGGTCCACATTTGTGTGACCATTTTCAATAATCTTTCTGCTGCTGTAAATTTTCCCAATGTGGGAAAATAAAGGGATTTTCTATTCTATTCTATAAAAGGGATAGAAAGATATAAGTAAATCTAAACAATATATTTATAAAAAAATATATCTGCAAAATCTCTAATATTCAACAACAAAAAATACGAAGTTAAGCATATTGTGAAAAATAGCAATAAAAAGATAAAAATCCTATCAGATTTATAGTCCCCACCCTGCAGATATATTAGAATCTGTCCTTAAATTACAGCCAAACTCATTTACACAGTAACAGATAAAAACCTTTAGATAAACCAAACATTACCGCCACATATCTGACTCAGTAACCATTAAAACAACTATTTTCATTCATTTCAGACGGAACTATTCACAGAGTTGTATTATATTAAACTGAACTTCCAATTTTCACCACTGTTCGGCGCCAAGTAACCTTTCCTCTGATCACAGCTTGCTTGGTCTCGCAATGAATCCTGGGATATCCAAGAATACCGAGGATACATCAGACCCGTCCTTCAAATCGGGCAAAAAGAAGGACGCATTTTAAGGCCGCATAACGAGGACTCTTGGAATCCGACCAGACCTCGGCGCCGCGCTATGACGTAATCGGCCTTCGAATCCGGTCTTCTAAGGATGCGTCCTAGGTTTTCGAACAGAGCCAATATGTAGCTGACTGAGACAAAGGCAGGGCTAACGAGCTGGCAAGGAGCAGGTGTGAGAGGAGACAACGAGGAAGCCAAGGGGAAAGGAACACACACAAGAGGGAAAAATAGGACAACACAGAAAAACCTGAGAACTAACATAAATCTAGAAATTACAACAAAATAGGAATTACACCAATAAAACTAGAAAAGAAGGAGCAAAGTAAAGCACAACAGAACCAAGACCATGACATTAGTTCTTAATAATTCCTTTATTTCTCATGTTAAACTTGATTATATTCCTACAGATAACCAAGGGCCATTTCTTTTTTTTCTGTTATTTTTCTGAACTAATAATAATAATAATAATAATAATAATAATAATAATAATAATTATTATTATTATTATTATTATTATTATTATTATTATAAATTAAGTTGTGTTTTTAAATACTGGATCTTACCTGAAACAATCATGTAGATAGTATTACTCCACTTAGGTAGATGTGAGTTCCTTCTGTAACCACAACACTTATATTCACCACTGTAATCTGTATAGTCAAGATTAAATGTGTAGCTTTTTGAACTGTTGATGTTATGTTCTCCACCATTCCATATTATTCTG